TAATATGGTGTCCACTCTATGGAATGATGCTGAGTTTGGTTAAAAAGACCTTCGGGTTTTCTTATAAAGAGCATTAAAAAAAAACGCTGACATTTTGAGTCTCCGTTAATCAGCACTCATCATACACCCCCGAACTGTTGAAGCATACACCCGTGCTCGAACTCTACTGGAAGCAGATCAGTGAAATATTACAATTGTGAATTACCTACAGCCGGTCAGTTCAATGATAAGCAGTTAGCGTGCAAATGTACACTGGGGGAAAAAAAAATGATTTCCTACCCCACCCCTTCCCCCCCCCCCCCCCCCCCCCCCCCCCCCCCCCACCTTGGATTTGGCTACAAATTTTGAGTGGTCCTCAGCCAAAAGATTTTTGTATTGCAATGCTGCATAACATACCTTTTCGCCAGATATTTTTTGTTTTTTTTGTCAAGTTGGATGCATTGTTTGGGTTCGGGGTGGGGGGATGGATCCAGACACTCTGGACCGGACGGACACCAGACCTGGACATCCAGACCCAGACCATCTCCACTGCGGCGGTCCGGATGTCCGGATCATAACCATGCTGAAAAAACTGACAACACTCTTAAAAAACAGTAAAAAGAACTAAAAACTGGAAAAGACTCAGGCGTGATCAAGACAAGATGCAAAGAGATCTGACCTGGAATTGGAGAGACATCTTCCTTCATTGGAGTACGGCGAAACCACTGAATAGTGCTTGCGCCTTCTCGTCCGCCAAAGTACTCGCCCTTCACCTGGTATCGACTTGTGTGAAATCCCTTACCCTCCACATGAAGGTTTTCTATTCTTGGAATACCTATCACACAAACCAGTCACATTTCAAGAATGTCCTGATATACTCTTGGGTACACATTTTTGAATGTCTTCTTAATGATTCAATTCTGTAGAGGATGCTGGACCTGCTTTCCAGCAGGTGATGCTCCCCAACAATAGATGGAGCTTCCATCTGGGGGCGACTTTAGGAGGATGCTCTTATCACCTCCTCAAGTGCCGACCCGCTCGGAGGTTTAAAAAAAAAAAAATCCAAAAGAAAGATGTCATTTGCTCTCTCTTATCAGCCGTAGGCCCCTTACCACTGCTTTCGGAGGCCGGAAATGCAACTGAGGCCAATGATGAATGTTATGAACGGCAGCCCGCCCCCGAAAGTTACGGTGCTACAGTGTGGTCGCAACGAGTTGCTTTTTCAGCAAGGTTGGGGGCGGTGTGCTGGCAGTTTATAGCATAACCTGGGGCCATGAAGACGCTTCCCAATGGACCCAGCAAAAACATTTTCCCAAAGTCCCGGTGTCATCCTTTTTTTTCTTTTTTTTTAATATGGACCATTTCTCGATTTATGTGTGTCATCCTTGCGCAGGGGCCATGCTAATCTTCTCTGTATCGTTCCAATTTTAACGGATGTCCCGAAGGACGTGTCATCCTTTTTTGGTCAGGCCGTGCCGCTTTTCCAAGGGCTGAGTTGTGCCTAGTTTTGGCCATGCGCTTTTTTTTGGTGTTGCAGCTTGGCCACAAGTCAGTTGACTACAGAGACACCCATGGTCTGAAATCAGGAGCCAGACTTCGATTTTGTTCTTAAAAAAAAAAAAAAAAAAAACATTGACCCCTTCTATTCTGGGGGGCAACAGTCCGGTTACTTTAACCGGCAAGCATGTTTGTACATCGAGAGAAGGGGGAGATCAGACCAGAGAAGGGGAACGTTCTTACCCTTGCGGTACTCGTCACCTAGCAAGCGGGGAGCTGCAACAGTGGGTCCCACCCCCCCAAGCCATGACCTTTCTGCGGGGGGCACCCTGCTGGCCGGGAGCTAACCCTTGTGATACTCGTCACCTAGCAAGGGGGGAGCTGCAACAGCGGGTCCCACCCCCCCAAACCATGGCCTTTCTGCGGGGGGCACCCTGCTGGCCGGGAGGCTTGCTAGCAGCACCCAGACACGCAGCAGAATGGCCCTCCCCTGCAGTTCCTCAGGCCGCCTTTTAAGGCCCACACTCCACTAGGTCATCACTTTTCCCCTTTGTCACCCTTTGCCCTACTCTCATCCTGTCCATCCTGTCATGTTTAACCCTATGTCGGCCGCTCAGACGGGTATGGCCCGTCCGTACGCCCGAGACGGCCGTACGTACGGCCCCCTGGCACTCATACACGTACGAGCCCATTTCAGGGCCTTCCCGGGGAGGGCTCCCGAAACCATTGACGGGGCGGTTTGGGGGTGTTGGGGGGCACCTCCCCAGACTTAAAAAAAAAAAAAAAAAAAAAAAGTTGGGTTGGAAAAATATAAAATAAAATGAAATTGATTGATTGATTGTAAAAAGGAAAAGGAAAAAAAAGCACAAAAAAGAAGAATAAGACGCCCACAGAGGGAAACAGATTGATTGATCGATTGATTGATTGATTGATTGGTTGATTGGTTGATTGGTTGATTGATTCATGATCGATGATGGACTGATTGATGGATTGATTGGTTGATTGATGCAGTCCCTCCTCCTCCTCTCACATGTGTGGTGTATGATGGGATGTCGTGTCAGTACCAGTCAGGTCAGGTCATATCTTTGAGTCTCCTGTTGCGCTACATTGTGCTATTTTGTATGTATTGGGATGTACATTGCTTATCACTCTGCGGATCCTTGGCTCCATATCCATTGCCCAACTGGGATGTGTCACGCTCTGACTATCCTTACGATATACTGACACTGAGACCCTCTGGGACATACTCACACTGAGACTTTGGGCAACGTAGGGTGTGCTCACACTCTGACTATCCTTACAGCATACTGACACTGGCACCTTTTGGGACAAATGCTGGGACTTGGGGCAACGTGGGACACAATCAAATTTTCTCGGAATGTATTTGACGAAAACTCTCTCTCTCTCTCTCTCTCTCTCTCTCTCTCTCTCTCTCTCTCTCTCTCTCTCTCTCTCTCTCTCTTCGCGTCGCTGGTGCCGCAGGGTCACATGCCAGCGCCCTGCCTGCCGCGGCATCACCGCAGCGCGCCTGCGACTTGTTTATTTTTATTTTTGCTTATTTTTCCGCAGCCTATGCAGCATAGTACGGCCTTAGTGCAAACGGCTGTACGACGTACGGGGGAATACACAAGTTCGACCTGCCTTTAACAGCACTCTACAACACTCTTGTCCCTCATACCTTTGTTTTGGCTGGCTCCATATCCCTTACTATCTCTGTGCCTTGCTCCCTGATTCCTATCTCGGTAGTTCCATGTATCTTGTGCAGTCTTATATGACTGAACATCATTGTCCATCCTAAGAGTAGTATTATGGTCATCCCAGCACCTTTTTTTTTGCTTGGCCGCAGAGATGACAGGGAGGAGGGGGAGGGGGGGGAGGAGGAGACGAAAAGTTGGACAACAAGGATGTGGCAAAGGAGGGGCAGGACGAGAATTCAACAGAGGAGGAGGTGGCTGAGGAGGAGGTGGCTGAGGAGGAGGGGAGTGGGGGGACAGGGCAGAGAGGAGGTGACAGAATGGGGAGGAGAATGTGGGGGGGGGGGGGGGGGGGGGGACGAGGACGGGCAGGTGTGTGCCGCAGGGGTACCGGGCGCAACAGTGGTGAGCACCCGTTGGTTATTATTAATGCAACTATCCTCCCTCTCTCTCTCTCTCCATTGCTTATGTACCTTTGTCTCACTTCTGGTTACTCGCTGCTTATTCTGGGATATAATTGACTGCTTTGTGGCTTACTCTGCGTTGTGATGGTTCCATTTTGCGTGAATTGAGACCGCTTGCATGTTCATGTTGTGGAAGCTTCTCATGATTAACGGACTCATTACGTGCAGGTTCTCGGTCTGTGCATTTTCTTGAGTCTCTATCCTACTGACTTCCAATACCAATCAAGATCGCACTCTTCCTGGAGAAACAACAGCTTCTGAATCGACAAAATGGCAAGGCAAAGCTCCCTTACCCGCAACAATCTTATCAGATACAGCTCGAACTGGGTCCGCAATTCTGTCAAACACGTCTGACACGGTACACTCGCATTGCAGGAAGCAATCTATGTCCTCCAGCCTTACTTTGTACGTGCAAGACCATTGTGAGGAGATGGGCGTGAAAGTCTCAGGTTTCCCAACATCAGAGCGATACCTGCGTATGAGGCAAAAAGCGAGCCACACGAATCACACATCGATTAGAATTTTAAAACGTAAGCTGCACCACCCATTTGGCATGAAAATATTATGTACGAGCCAAAGCGAGCCACACAAATCACACGAATCACACATCGATTAAAAATTTTAAACGTAAGCTGCACCACCTATCTGGCATTAAAATATTGGGACCATTATATTTGGCCCTCACAGCCTCACACTTTTGGAGGCTGCTGTTATGGCGTCCAATATTAGGACAGTTGCAGTCCTCCGCGGCCTAAAGCTGCCACTGGAAATGAGCCCAGGCTGCCCTAAGCGAAGGCAGGCCTGGAAATTTCATGCCAGCCCTGAGTGAAGGCAGGCAAGGGCCCCCTCGAGTTCGGTGACAGGCGCCAGCCCCTGTAGCTAACTGGTATGCCAGGTCTGCAAGTTAGTTACAGAGGCTGCGACCTGGACACCGTGCCAATAGGCTGCAGGCACTGCCTACTGGGTCCGGATGCGGCCTTCACTCCAGCACAAAAGTCTGGAGGCCGCCAGCCAGAGCACATTCAGGCAGGATGCTGCGCGGCGTGAGCACTGTTGCACAGTGAACAGAAGGCAGTGCCCGAAGAACGGGAGCAGTTGCAGTAGCTGCAGTGAGAGCCAGCCGTAGCTGGGCGCAGGGAAGCTGAGTCACAGAGTGTGGAGATCAGGAAAGAAGGAAGACCGTGGGGCCTGACAGTTCTTAACTGGTGTTGGCCGAGGAAGTCTTCAAACATCATTGGGCGTGGACAGAGAGTCGTGTGGTAGAGGTTACCGTCTTCCCCCGAACATAACACACCCTGATGATGAATGTATACAACCTATATTTCCAGACAGGTACAACAGAAATGGGGATGCATTGTGTTCGGGGGACGACGGTACAATTGAATAGCAGTAGTCGGAAGTAGATTAGGGCGGTCATACCACAAGTAGGGCTACTACATTGTTGTTCCATTGATGCTTGTAGGTGGAAGTCGAGATTTCTTTGTCATGAGATGTCAGTGTTCTCTTTGCTCCTACTTGGTGTGCATTCCACTTTGGTTTTCCACTTTCAGCTCGGCGTAGTCATGTTTGGTCTTCTGTGAAATATTGCAACCTGAAATACTGGTGTTCGCATTGTGTGGTTCCTTGCAGTATGCACATAAGACCGTTGACGAGGACAGATCAAGGCATCCAAAAAATAAAAGAAAGATCTTTGATAAGTAACAAGGGTTCGTATTGGATACCATTTCATACCATTGATCAGGAACTCTCTATCCAAGGACTCAATCACCCTTACTGAAAAAGAAGGACGGACGACCTTGTGGCCGTCGCAACTCTAACTGCCCAGTGTTCATGCGATTCAATGCATATCATTAAGAAAAGTGGCCCAGTGCTCCGTCCACTGGACTCAGGACATCACAGTGCTACCTTTTGTGCTTTGCAATCATATTGAAACATAGAGAAAGTGTACTCACTGTCCAGGAAGAGCATGATTTAACCACCACTACTGCCCTCAAAGTTTTTCAACAAACGGACGGAGTGGCTTTCCCAACCCTGGACCAACAAACATAAATACGCAGTCACAACCGGGGGCAAATATGCAATAATCCTGCTGCGAGGAAAATATTATGGGCACCGCAACCCGTCAAAGGCGGTGCACACAGAAACTTTGCACAATGCCACCGGAACCCCCCTCTCCCTCATCCCAAGGCCGCTAGGCCAACCCTTCCCATGGCCAGTGTGCACACCTCAGCAGGCATTGGATGTTGTCCGGGCAGTCGTGGTTCAAGCAACAGGGCAAGCTACTGAAGAACTCACCACTGGTACTTGATATCCTTTTTGTATCTTTCCCAAATGCGATGTTCCATCTCAGTGCCTGAAGTACTCTCCAAGGCTGTGAGAAGTTCCCCTTCCATTGAAGTTCCTGCAATGATTAGTTTCTCAATTTTTGGGATATCTGCACGATACAACAAGGTGCAGCAGCAAGCCCAAGCCAGTGAGATGGTGGAGGTAGGAGATGTGAAGTAGGGGTAGAGATGGCGAAGGCAGGTTGCATGGAGGAGGGGGAGAGATGGCAGAGGTAGGAGAAAGATGGTCAAGGTAGGTGGCACGGAGTCGAGGGAGAGATGAGGGAGGTAGGTGCTGTGAAGTGGCAATAGAAATGGAGTAGGTAGGGGAAGAGATGGAGGAGGTAGGTGGGGCAGAGTACGGGGAGAGGTGGTAGAGTGAGTAGGGAGGTAGGTGGCACAAAGGAAAGGGAGAGGTAGCTGGAGGAGGGAGGGAGGTGGCGACAAGTAGGGTGGTCAGAGGAAGACATCATAGTTATCCCGGACGAGGACCAGGCATATCTGGACGGTCTGGACGCACACGGTGTGGATACCATCTGCACACCCGGATTGATCCAGATAAAGGGTCCCCCCAAGACAAAGAAAATACTTGAGTTTAGCTATGAATTGAAGATGAGCCTCAGTCAAAAGTTGTTTGTATTGCAATGCTGCATTGTAAATGCTTTGAGACCAACCATACATGATGCTCTCACACCATGCACACACCACCAGATGCCGCACAGCGCACATACACCAAAGCACGTGTGAGATGTAACTTGCAGACAGTATCTACCAATCAGCTCAATGACTTGGAATTGTCTCTGTACAGGAAGATGTGGCTACGACCGCCATCAAGCTCTTTCAGGTATGGTGGCTCTCTCTCTCAGCCTCACTTCTCTCCCTCATCAGCGCCTCTCTCTCTCTCTCTCTCTCTCTCTCTCTCTCTCTCTCTCTCTCTCTCTGTGTGTGTGTGTGTGTGTGTGTGCGTGTGTGTGAATATTTCTCGAGTCACTCTCCCTCACAACCTCACACTTGACCTGGCTATGGCTACTCCCTGAGGGCGCCCAGAGCCGTAGACTACCACTACCAGCACAAGCCACGAACAGCGCAAGTCATAGTGTCTCCAAACAGCGCACTCCTCAGGATGCCAAAATAGTGCAGGAGCACTTAAGCAAGGTTGCACAAGTGAATATCTGCTGACTGCTTCCCAGCTGGACTTTTGAACTTGATGATTCACCTTTCGACTCCAGCTACCAGTTATGGGTCTGGCACCCTGCCAATGTCTGTCGTTTTTTAAAAGGGCGACGGCCTTGAGATATCATCATTGAGCTGACCGTCCCCAGGCAATTCAGAAATATTTGGTTGTACTCGGGTCTGTATTTCAACAGTTCATGGGTGTACCCACTGAGCTAGAGTCTGTATTTCAACAGTTCATGGACACCCACTGAGGTAGGCTCTTGGGTCCTGCCAATGTCTGTCAGTTCCGGAGTTTTGCGAAATTTCCTTGTACTTTGCTGCTGACTCGACTGTCTGACAAGTGGCTTAACAACGTCTATTGACTTTCCCCAGACCCATAACTTTTGCCTACCAGGAACTTCCTACCATGGCCTACTTGAACCTAGGCCTTTATACATCATCATTGAACTGACCGGCTCCAGGAATTCAGAACGATTTTGTTCTGTTCATCAGACTTCATCTGATAGTATCTGGATTCAAACTGGAGTCTGTATCTCAACAGTTCATAGGTGTACCCAGTGGGCTAGGCCCGTTTGGTCGTTCATGAATACTGTACAAGTGACTAGGACCAACAGTGGGACTGGGAACTGGGACTGGAACTGAAATTGGAACGGGGATTGGGACAAGGGCTGCAGTGGTGAAATCATTTCACTCCCGCTGGCCTAGAAAAGCTACAACGTTCTCAGCCCGTCTTCCCCCAAACATAACGCAGCCTAAAAATGAATGTATACAAGCTATATTTCTGGCCAGATACAGCCAAAATAAGGGTGTGTTGTGTTCGGGGGAAGACGGTAGTCTAGCACTTCTGTGATCTGTAGTGTGACACTATTATAGGAGCAGTCCAGCGATTTCATCTTGTGGGAACCATCTATCTTCCTCCAGACATCAATGCTGATAACCTTGAATCAAAACAAAGCAGGCAAAAAAAAAAAAAAAAAAACTGAAAAAAACATAAAATTTGACCCCTAAAGGGCCTAAACGGTTAAACCCTAGTTTCAGTTTTCGACCCGTTACTCAGCAGCTGAAAGTGGGGGTCCCCGTTAACCACTTGTGGCTGATACCTGCATTTGTAATGCTTCTGCGGTCACCCTTTCTTCCTGTTCGGAGTCGTGCTTCATCGACAATACGGTCCACATCATAGCTACCATTCATGTCAGGAGGAATCCTTGATCTGTGAGAGGGGAACTCACCATTACATACGAAAGGCAGTAGCTTGGAAGTATGAAATACATGGTAGGTCCTCAGGTGTCCGGGGACATTTATGATATATGACGGTCCGTTATCTCCTCCTACAACATCAACGCTTCCCATGGTCCTCAGGTGTCCGGGGACATTTATGATATATGACGGTCCGTTATCTCCTCCTACTACATCAACGCTTCCCATGGTCCTCGGTGTGCGGGTAAAAGATTTTGAGAGATATCTTCCTCAGATAGGAACTCTTTAGACTTAACCCAGACTAAATATCAACTTAACCCAGACTAAATATCAACTTAATCCAGACTAAATATCCTACAGAAAACTGTAACCTACGACATATATTAGCACGTTATCGGCGTTCAGTCCCTTTATGGAGGGTATCTTAACCGCCTCTGCCCCTAGATGTGCCACTTACCTCCCACCCTCTCTGAAATCTCTCTCAGCACTTTACATCACCTACCTCGGGCACCTCTACCCCAACTGAGGCCTCCTGCCTCCCTGATCCCTCTGCAACCTCTCCCCCTACTTCTTCGTGTCATCTAGCTCCGCCATCTCTACCCCTACTTCACACCACCTACCTCCGCCATTTCTTCCCTTACTCGTGTCACGTACCTCCACCATCTCTACCCCAACTTCACATCACCTCCCTCCCTCCCTCCCTCCACACTCTCCCCCAACTTCACACCACCTCCCTCCCTCCTCCCTCTACCACCTCCACTACTTCATGCCACCGACCAGTTATCAAAGTGTGCAAACAAATTTGAAACAAGGGGCATATGACTTACCTTCAACTGGCAACAGTAGAGGAAACAAAGCATGTAGCCATCTGACTCTTTACTTCCACCATGTCTACCCGGAATCGGTGGCACCTATATCCACCATCTCTACCCGTACTTCATGCGAACTACCTCCACCATTTCTTCCCCAACTTTGTGCCACCTACCTCCGCCATCTCTATCCCTACTTCATGTCACCTACCTCCCTTCCTCCACCATCTCTCCCCCAACTTCGTGCCACCGACCAGTTATCAAAGTGTGCAAACAAATTTCAAACTAGGGGCATATGACTTACCTTCAACTGGCAACAGTAGAGGAAACAAAGCATGTAGCCATCTGACTCTTTACTTCCACCATGTCTACCCGGAATCAGTGGCACCTATATCCACCATCTCTACCCGTACTTCATGCTAACTACCTCCACCATTTCTTCCCCAACTTTGTGCCACCTACCTCCGCCATCTCTACCACTACTTCATGTCACCTACCTCCCTTCCTCCACCATCTCTCCCCCAACTTCATGCCACCTACCTCCCTCCTCCCTGCACCACCTTCCCTACTCCCTGCCACCTATGAGTTATCAAAATTTGGGACCGAACTGCACACTAGGGGCATATGGGTTACTTTCACATGGCAACAGTAGAGGAGACAAAGCATGTAGTCGTCTCTACCCCTAATTGGCGGCACCCACCTCTGTCACCTCTCCTCCTACCTCGGCCACCTCTGCTCCTACCTCCGCCACCTCTCCCCCTTCCTTCACCATCTCTACCCCTACTTCATGTCACCTACCTCCCTTCCTCCACCATCTCTCCTCCAACTTCGTGCCACCTACCTCCCTCCTCCCTCCACCACCTCCCCTACTCCCTGCCACCTACGAGTTATCAAAGTTTGCGACCGAACTGCGCACTAGGGGCATATGGGTTACTTTCACATGGCAACAGTAGAGGAAACAAAGCATGTAGTCGTCTCTACCCCTAATTGGCGACGCCCACCTCTGTCACCTCTCCTCCTACCTCGGCCACCTCTGTTCCTACCTCCGCCACCTGTCCCCCTTCCTTCACGATCTCTACCCCTACTTTTGTCATCTACCACCATCTGTTCCCCTGTTTCCACCACCTACATCCGCCATCTTTCCCCTTTCTTGTGTCACCATCCTTCCTCCATCTACTATCACCTCCCCCTGCTATGGCCACCTCAACCCCCCTCTTCGGGCCATGTTTCTCACCCATCATCTGCGAGCTCTTGCCCCCTGCTATTGCCATCTCCTCCCTTTGTTTCAACCCACCTACCCTGCCCTACTTTCAGCACCTTGTTGTCACTGGAGAAAACTAGGGTAATTTCCATTTGAATTTGTTTTTCCATTTGAATTTGAGATCACAGGAGTCCTTTTTGTCGGGGGTGGGGGTGGGGGTGGGGTTGGGGGTGTAATTGGCTGTGTGAAAAAGGGGTGGTTTCTTTTTTCATTCATGCAACTGGGGTGTTTCTCCGCCAGCGATTGTTGTCCGGTAGGCCCGAGCCTCCAAAATTCATAGGCGATGAAAGATTTCTCCACAAGGCTGGGGTCCTGTTCTGGCAGTTCAAGCCATGCATACTTGGAAATTGGAATGCTGAGCAGAAGTGGGAGAGATTGAGAACTGTGACGGAGAGATGGAGAAGTGTGATCTCATATATAACATATTTGCTTCAACAATGAATTTGATTAGATATGCGTATCACATAGTGGTGCAAAAAAATCATACTTGTTTTCAGAGTGGTGATAAAAAAAATAATACTTGTTTTCATTACCGAATTGAATGGTGGTTTGTCTTTTCACGCTTTGTTTCGCATTCAGGGTTTATGCCTCCGCATAGGGCCCTGCAGCAGGTGTGTGCCCGTCCTAAGTGAAGGCGGGGCCCCTGAATCTCAATGTGCCCTGAACTCGTCAATTTTTCCAAATATTGGTCGGCACCAGACAGTGCCACACGCAAGTTGGTTACAATCCGCCTTGCTCGTGAGAATCCAAAATATTCGTGAGCCTTCCAGGCTCTTCCGGCAACATGGTCGAAGCATGGAGCATCGCACGTTTGTGCCTGGGTGGTTGGGCATGCCTAACCAATTCGGTCCGGGCTGCGTGCTGCGTTAACGCGAGGTTCGGGCGCGCGCGGGTGTCGAGAGGATACAGAACGCTGCTGAGGGCAGCGCCATAGCCCAGCCTTCATAGCCAGGCTGGGGCTTGGACACAATCAGCGGGTGGTGGTGGTCTTCGTGTGTGGGAAGGAAGACGTGGGTGATGAAGACGAGTGTGAGAGAGAGAGAGAGATGAGGTTGATGATGTGAGGGCACGTACCTGGTCTTGGCGATGGTCTACAAGGTCAACATCTTCATGCACTTCAGTTGTTGCTGCTGACGTCAACGAGATGCATTGTCAATTTGTAGGCTGCTAGTAGCTGTGTAGAAGTCGTCTGGGCGCTGAGCGCCAAGTAGGAGGAAGGGCTCTGGATATATATGTTGGTGGTGGCGAGATTATGCTCTCATTGACATTCGGATTCGGTGTTTTGGTTCTCCGTTGGTGGAATATCAGTGCATATCTGCTTTCTGGACAGTGTTGGACTTTCTGGCTTTCAATGTGAAATTGCATTCTGGAATTCTGTCATTTCGCTATCGCTCATTTTCCTTGCATGTAGGTTTTATAGATTCTGATTTGTCTTCCGGAATCCACGAGTTATCCTTCTCTTTTGTGAAAATAAACAGGGAAAGGGGGTGGGAGACAGAGGTACAAAGGAGGGGTCTGAGGAGGGTGTTGAGAGGGGGTTTTGATGCAAGGCGCTGATGTTGTCGTGTCTGCAATGCATGTTCCTTCCTTCCCACACAGGACAGAGTGACATCGGCGCAAGTGCTGCGGCAAATGAAAAGACACTACCACAAAGATGGCACTGCGGGGATGCATGCAAGCAAGGGCAGTGGGTCCGCAACTCCAGTGAGACTGGGTTTGACGCGATGGTCATGAGGCTGAAGGATCACTGCTCGAGGAACTGCAACCTAGTCCTCAGGATCAGACCCCTGCCACCAGAAGAGAGTGCGAGGAGGTTGGAGGGAATCCACGTTAGTAGTCTGCTGCAGGGCGAAGGGGGAGGAGATGCAGGTCCCAGCAATCTGCAATTAGTCAGCCGTTCGGCAGCGGTGTCGAACGAAGCAGGTATGGGGAGGGCTTCTGGGAGAATCAGGCACGTCAGTAGGGACTTCAGGGAACCCTGCTGCTGTGGTGTCATCGACGATTCACAATGTTCCAATGAGGCAAACTCTCATTGAGAACTCCGGCAGCATTGTCTTTCGGACGATGAGACAAATCACCAGTGGATGGCGTGCGTCAATCAGCCTTTCAACATGGTGGAGAACAAATTCTTCTTGTAGTTCATTGACATGGTGATGTCACGCGGCCGTCGACAAGTTGCAATGTTCCAATGCGGCAGACTCATTGAGGAGGCTGACGGCGTTGCCACTCGGAACGAGCACCAATCAGCCTTTCAAGATGGTGGAGATGAAAGAGGACTTGAAGACCCTTGTGAAGAAGTGAGAGAGGACAGGCTGCATTCTTCAGATGCTTGTGAGTTCCGACGAGCACAACAGACCACACTTGAATATCATGGTGTTGGCCCTGGTTGTCAAGGTGTTTCAAAAGAGAAAGGCCAAGGACTCGGCAGCGTACTTCCAGCTCTTGGATGGGAGGAGGTTGGGTAGAAGTCTATGGTGAGAGAGGTAATGGACAATGTGAGCGGCTTGGGTCAAACCAGGGAAGATGTGGAGGTGCTTAATCATATTTTGTGTGGGCTGCACTGTTCATAGCCCGACCTCGTGGTGGACGGCATGTACAAGCACCTGGGGTGGTTGACAGAGGTGGTTGATGATGGCAACAGGCTGGGGAAGTTCTTCATCAACGTTGACAAGGTCAGGGCGATGTATCATGCACTTTCGCCAAACAAAAAGCAGTCAAAGCGATCGATAGTCACATGCTTTGCCACAGACACAGCTGGTTTCTGGAAGGGGGTGGACAAAGCAATTAGTTGTGCATCCAGTGAGATTGGTTGCGGACCAAGAGCAATGATCAGCAAAGCTGTAAATTCACATGGATGCCATTGTGGAGGACATTGGGGCCTCAACTGAGTTCCTCGACTCTACAGGACGAAGGCGTGGACTTGACTATGACATTCAGGCTTCAAAATCTGGCTGTGCATGTGGGCATGAAAGTTTGAACACAGTCAGCCAGCAGGTGGACGTATGGGTGCACTTGAAACGGTTTCTTATGTCCCCCAAGGCAGACACAGGTGTTCTTGTGGGCAGCATTCGGGTGGAGATGGACCTCCTTCAACCACTATCTGCAAGCGCACCTGTTTGTAAATTTGTGTGGACGTTGTTGTGGAGGAAACTGGGGCCTCCACTGCATTTCATTCAACATGTAAAGAAAGTAGAGAACATTCTAACGGACCAGTGGGCGGTGATGAAGTGAGAGCTACATTGTACCGCAGTGTTCCTCGACTCTGAGTAAAGGACGCAAGGTGCAGAGCTTGACTCCAAAGTTCATGCAGGCTTCACCATCTGGCTGTACATGTGGGGATCAATGAGTAAATTGAAGGAAGCCAGCAAGCATATGGGTCCGCTTGAAAGGGTCTCTCATCTCCCCGAATGTGCTGAAACATGCGGGCTCACCAACACCAGGGTTATTGTGAGCGTCATTCGGGGGGGGAGGTGGACTGTGGCATTCTGACACCACACAGGCCCCAGTTAGGGCCCGGTTCCGTAGTTAGGCTCAGTTTAGGCCTAGGGTCAGGGGTCATGTCGGTTCAGACCTGTAGGTCGGCCCAGAGGCCGAGTAGGCAAACGGTCACAAGGGCCAGGCCGGTACCGGTCCAACACCAGGACCTACCGGCGGCGCAGTTTTGACGGCAGCCAAGTTTAGGTGACGCTTTCAGATTTCGGCATCGGATCTGAACCGTTTGGCTGATCAATGGTCCAGACCCGAAGGTACCAGCAGCATTGAGGCCGGCCCGGCGCTATATCAGCCGGGTACCAGCCTCGGTATGCAGGTTTGTCTAGGACAGCATTTCGGTGTTAGAATAGCGGAGCAGCGAGGAAGATTAGCGCAGCAGCGATTAGCGCCATGTCTCTGGCTCAGCACGCAGCCCAGCACCCAGCACTGCAGCGCCATAGCTACAGCGCCAGGCTCGGCCTCAGCGGACTTCGGCAGAGACGGCGCGGCCACTCAGGTATCAGGGAGAAAGGCTTCACTTTTCTTCCCTCTTCCTTTTCTTCTCCTCTCCTCCGAAGCCTTCTTTCTCCTCCTGCCCTCAGTCTAAGCCTAGTTCTTGGGTTATTCCTACTGGATTACAATGTATGGAGGATGGTGACGAGTTTTGATGATGTCGAAGATAACAACCTTGAGACTTTCAGTTGAGCACTACTTTTGGATCTGACTTCATCTACCTCTGGAGATGTATCTTGGCATTAGGAGATCGATATCTGGGGCACTGTGAGACTCTGTATTCGCGACATTTAGGATTTTCGCTACTTATGACATTTCGAGATACTATTTTTGGAGACATGAGTTGACGTCATCTTCCCTCTCCTCCTCCCTTCGTCTCTCTTCCCCTCCATTCATCTGTGTATGAGATCAGACCCTGGCCCTTTCTTCCATGTCCTAGGCCAGGGCTTTCACACCACCGATGCATGTTTGTGAGGGATTTGTTGCAGTCTGAGTCGGGTCTGAGTCAATCCATGTGTACCAAGTCTTCGGCTGTAATTGTAATTGCTCTCTATTATGTGGTCGGTTCTGGGGATCTGCGCCATACTTATGTCTGTGATCACGAGTATGCAACATGGACCTACTCCAACCACAACCAACCAAGTCACTTGGCCAAGCAAGCTCCTCCACCCCTTGCCGTGCTGCTTTCCTTAGTTATCATAGCTCCTCCACATCCTCTGTCTTTAAGAGAGAGAGAAAGAAAAGGGGACCATCTGCAAACATCACAGATTCCAACTGCATCATTGCCTACTCACTCACCCATTCCCATTCTGGCAGTCACTTGTCGGGTCAGCTGCCTCCTACTCTTGCCCCTTGTCATCCTCCTCTTGTTGGTTATTGTGCTTTTCGTGTCCACCTCTCCCCTTCCCCCTTGCCGTGCTGCTTTCCTTAGTTATCATAGCTCCTCCACATCCTCTGTCTTTAAGAGAGAGAGAAAGAAAAGGGGACCATCTACAAACATCGCAGATTCCAACTGCATCATTGCCTACTCACTTATTCCCACTCCAGCAGTCACTGTCTGTGTGATGCTGTACCCCACCCTATGCACAGACAGACAGACAGAGAGAGAGAGAGAGAGAGAGAGAGAGAGAGAGAGAGAGAGAGAGAGAGAGAGAGAGAGAGAGAGAGAGAGAGAGAGAGNAGAGAGAGAGAGAGAGAGAGAGAGAGAGAGAGAGAGAGAGAGAGAGAGAGAATGTGCATTGATCATGATGAGAACAACCAAAGGGATCGGTTCACGAACTGTCTGTCTTCCCAACTGATGACTACAGGGTGCAGTTCAGCATAACTTTTTTGCCGAAACAGGGTCGGCGTTTCGATAGGACGGAAGTTTCTCAACAGTCTAATTTTTGGGCGGTCACTTTCTCAGTTGTGTACATACCTGGAAATAGGACATCGGTCGGTTCGGATAGCCTTTCTTCCCCTTCAACTCCATCGATTCGAACTGGAATGTACCTGTGCCAAGTGTCAAGGCATTCCACCAAACAACCAACAAGTTTAGAAATCCAAACCTGCTTCATTTGACTTTCCGTGATTTTGCGAAAATATCCTTGGAGAAAGCAGACAGCAGAGGTATTGTGATAGCCACTTGATCCCTAGGGCTGCCAGCCGGAGACAAGAGGGCAACGGATAGTTGCATACGAAGCAGGCAATCCTGCACGGTTCCATGAGAACAAACTAATAAATAACAAGAAAATCCAGCAAACGACTTCAAGAGGTGGTTAACGGGTTCACTAATATTCAGCATTTACTAGATGACCCGTTGCCGCTTCGCCCGCAAAAACAGAAAAGGAAAACGCACAAAAGAAAGAAAAAGCATAACGAACCGCCCTATCATATGCTGCTTCTTTCACAAGAAGAAAAAGAAGAGCCTGAGAGCAGACTGAAATTTGCGTGCAAGAAAATAGGAGGGAATAGCACCGAAGCATTTTTTTTACTTTATTTGTGAGTCTTTTGTTTGGGAAGCCATTACCTTTGCAGCATCGTTTTTCTTTTGTGCTGTGCAAGAACTCTGAACGTTTCTGAGAAAATCCTGTTCGTTATCCCGTTGATGTTTTTGCTAAGGATTCCGATTCAGACTTTGCTTGCTGTGTTCTCTGAATATGTTTGTGATCAAGTGATCTTCCATGTATGCCCTGTGCTTACTTGTTGAGTTTTGATGCTATGCGTGCAAGTGCATGCGCGTGTAGGTGCGTCTCAGTATGGTGGGCTCCGGTGATGACATTGATGATTGGCCCCGGGACGTTGTTGGAAGTCGCCTCCAACCACAGGAGTGCCACTAATGTTAAGCAGGTTTTGCTTGGCAGTTGCTCTTCGCGTGGGGGACTTGTCGGGAGAAGCGCTGACATGGGAGCCGTAATGCTGGCCATTCATCTTGCAACATTTCCTCGAAGGCATAAAGCAAAGAAGATACGGAGTAGCGCGTGCCCCCCCCTTCTCTCTCTCTCTCTCTCTCTCTCTCTCTCTCTCTCTCTCTCTCTCTCTCTCTCTCTCTCTCTCTCTCTCTCTCTC